CCCCGCTCCCACAGCTGGTGGCCCAAGATGAGACGCCCCGCTCCCACAGCTGGTGGCCCAAGATGAGACGCCCCACTCCCACAGCTGGTGGCCCAAGATGAGACGCCCCGCTCCCACAGCTGGTGGCCCAAGATGAGACGCCCCACTCCCACAGTTGGTGGCCCAAGATGAGACTCCCCACAGCTGGTGGCCCAAAATGAGACGCCCCACTCCCACAGTTGGTGGCCCAAGATGAGACGCCCCGCTCCCACAGTTGGTGGCCCAAGATTAGACGCCCCGCTCCTACAGCTGGTGGCCCAAGATGAGACGCCCTACTCCCACAGTTGGTGGCCCAAGATGAGACGCCCCACTCCCACAGCTGGTGGCCCAAGATGAGACGCCCCGCTCCCACAGCTGGTGGCCCAAGATGAGACGCCCCGCTCCCACTGCTGGTGGTCCAAGATGAGATGCCCCGCTCCCACAGCTGGTGGCCCAAGATGAGACGCCCCGCTCCCACAGCTGGTGGCTCAAAAGCCTCGATTTACTAAATGACAACCCAGCCCCACAGTACGTAATTCCCAGATGATATACTGACCAAAAATCCATCAACAATTGATGGTAATGTTGGCCATGGCTATTTCATCAAATCGCCTCATTTTTATGGGGCCACGTGAGCGAACAAGCTTGAATGGTCCCCAGGCATATATGCAACTGAAAAAATCGTATTTCTGTTGCACACGAGGCCCCACAAAAATGAGGCGATTTGATGAAATAGCTATGCCCAAGATTACCATCAAAGTGCCGTCGGGGTGGTGGTTCAAATAGCCTCGGCTATCATCGCCTTTTGTACGGTTACTGATGGTCGAGTGGTTTAAGGCACCGTGTACACCAGTTGCAATGTGCTCCTGGTGGTCTGGGTTCGAGTCACTTCTGGGGTGTGGAGTTTTCAGTTGCATATATACTTGGGGACCATTCAAGCTTGTTCACATTTGTGTTGCTCACGTCTCTGGTTAAACCATGGGTTTCTCATCTGCATTTCATTGTTATCCTTTTGGACCTGGACAAACTTGTCTGCTGCCTCCTTGCACTTCTGCGTGATATAGTCCACCATGTCTTGGGCTGTCTTTCCCCTGAGCTCTGTTTCCCATGTTATATCTCTTAGGAATTTCCTTATCTCATAGTTACCCTTTCGGAATGCCATCCTTTTGTTTTCAGTTCCCCTCCTCGAGTTCCTTAAACATTCCTCAACCAGATACTCAAACGTCAGTACACTGTGGTCGGTCATTCCTACCGGGGCCTCGAAACCGATTTCCCTTATGTCTGAGTCGTTCAGAGTGAAGACTAGGTCGAGTCTCGCTGGTTCATCGTTTCCTCTCATCCTTGTGGGTTCCCTGACATGCTGGCTTAAAAAAAATTTTGTCGTCACCTCCAATAGTTTAGCTCTCCATGTATCCTCACCTCCATGCGGTTCCACCAGGCTATGTGGAAGCATCGGAATGTGTATATATGAATGCTACACAGTATTCATCTATAGACATCCACATATATGGCGAAACACATGTGAAGAACCTCTCACACACTCACAGCTCCCTGACAAGAGGGAGCCAGCTTAGCTTAGCTGCCAACACCCACACATGGTGTCAGCAAGGCGGGCAGCCCGTCTGCTTTCATACCTCTCACTGTATTCCCCACTTCCAAACTTCCCTTCACCTGTGCTTCTCCATCCTCTTTACTCCCCCTCTTTACTCCTAGTAAAATAGGGCAACCCGTTCTCGCAAATTCGTAAAGTCAATATTGACTTATTAACTACGTGCATAGGTGATATACTAAACATAATAGATACCCTTAAAAAGATTCATAGAAAACACCGACCTTACCTAACCTTGTTAGTATCTTAAGATAAGCATCTTATTGCTTCGTAATTACAATTATTACCTAACCTATACCTATTATAGGTTAGGTAATAATTGTAATTACGAAGCAATAAGATGCTTATCTTAACATACTAATTAGGTTAGGTAAGGTCGGTGTTTTCTAAGAATCTTTTTAAGGGTATCTATTATGTTAAGTATGTCACCTATGCACATATTTAATAAGTCAATATTGACTTGTTAAATTTGCGAGAACGGGTTGAATAGGTACCTGGGTGTTAGTCAGCTGTCACGGGCTGCTTCCTGGGGGTGGAGGCCTGGTCGAGGACTGGGCCGCGGGGACACTAAAGCCCCGAAATCATCTCAAGATAACCTCAAGATCTCAAGATAACCCCCCCCTCCAAAAAAATGGACAGGGGTGTAATAAACTCCGTCGGTGCCATTAACATTTCCCCACCATCGAATTACCCATAAGCTAATGGCCTCCCCATTACCCAGGCCTATTCCCAGAGATGTCTGGTCTCTGGTCCCATGGAGGCCTGGACCCAGATTCACGAAGCAGTTACGCAAGTACTTACGAACGTGTACATCTTTCCTCAATCTTTGACGGCTTTGGTTACATTTATTAAACAGTTTACAAGCATGAAAACTTCCCATTCAACTGTTATTATTGTTATAAACAGCCTCCGGGTGCTTCGGAGCTCATTAACTGTTTAATAATTGTAAACAAAGCCGCCAAAGATTGAGAAAAGATGTACAGGTTCGTAAGTGCTTGCGTAAATGCTTTCGTGAATGTGGCCCCAGGGCGCCCACTAAGTGGGCGGGGAGCCGAGGAAACTAGCATAGATTGTGGGTGAAGACATTCTTCCCTTGTAGGTTATTGAACTAAATTTAGTTAGTGTGTACTGGAAGATGACTTGGGAAGGTCTCCAACGACCTCAGAAGGTCGTTAGTTGTGGGAACCGACCTGTGAGATTTATATTTATTTAATTTATATGAATTTATATAGAATTTATATTTACGTTAATTTGTATACTTCGATAGCAATTTGTATGATGTTAAGTGGACTGTATTTCTGCAATAATCTCACAAATCGATCCTCTACACATTAGGGGGGGTTTATATTGAATTTATATATATGCAGCCAATCAAACTACAGTATTAAACTACATATATTGTTAAACATTGAAGAGGTTCCTTATCTTATTGTACAGCAGGCCTTAGTCCACCGGATATAACTATAGGATGTAGACACCGAATTATCCTCTTTGAGGTAGCTTCCATCACCCAGTAACTGGTACACAAAGCATGCTTCCTCGTCTTGACCTGTCAAAAGGGCGCTAGCTATAAAGCCAGAATCCTAATATATGACAGCTATATCAGAGAAAACACTGTACATTGAACCGTAAAGACCTAGGCTTAATTACCTTTTATTAAGAGGCAGTTCGTATTCTAACCGGTCGCCCCTATCTAATGACATTAATGGCCATAAATGATAGATAAATGGGTTTCGGCAGAACACTTAACTTGTATTTGTTGACAGCGTGTTGATGATGGTACACCTTTGGTTTCCATAACACTTTGTCCAAGTAAAATTAACAGGAGCCGTATTTGCTCCCGTGAGCCTCTGTGGTCTAAGTACAATAACAATGGCTGACCACTCCCTCCTCACTGACGCTACTGGCCTACATTATCCAGATGACAGTAAGTGATAGAAGGGTCACATTTACTCTATTATAATTCTGATAATTAAGTTAATTTATATGAGATGTTTTTATGATGGTAAAGTCCAAAGACTAATGTATTTAAGAATAATTCCCACCATAATAGGTGGTGAATTTATAATAGTATGTGGTAATGATATCCCATTTTCTATAGACGGAAATTCCACTACAAGTTACATTTTCTATGGGTTAACTTGTTTATACAACACAGCAATATTATCTGCCTGTATATTATTAAATGGTGTCGGGTTTTCCGACATTAGTTGACCAGAGCACACACTAGAAGGTGAAGGGACGACGACGTTTCGGTCCGTCCTGGACCATTCTCAAGTCGATTGTGAGGGGAGTTGTGTAGGGAGAAGATAATGTGCTGCTTGAGATGTGATGTACTCACTTTATCTTACACCAAATTGCCTCAATATAGGATTTATCCTGATCCCTTCCAAGTGCCATATAGTCGTAATGGCTTGGCGCTTTCCCCTTGAAAACGGTGATATTTTGAGGTGCTTTAACAGTTAGGATATATTTACCTGTAATTTTTTTTTTTTAAATAAAGTTTGTTTACTATCGGTATTTTAGCTAATTTTCCCGCTAATAAATTTTGAGTCATTCAATTTCTCATCACAAGCTGTTTGGGAAGTTTTCCCCGTGTTCATCTATTCTATTGTGATTAAAAGATGCCTCCCCCCCCCCCATTCTCAGTAAGTAAATTAAAGAGTTTCCATAAATTATTCCAAGTAATTAATTTCCCAAAGTTTTCCGACGTCATTGGAGTATTTATTATTGAACTCCATCTTCGCTGGGAGGGCAATAAGTCAGCCACATTCCTCTGCAGGGGAGCGGAGGCCGTGTTAAGTATTAATAATCATTACGGGACAAAACAGATGGGTTTTCCCTGTTAAGTATTCACTTAATGTAGAGTTGGTGAGAACATTTTTTGGGTCAAAGTGGACTTTGTAAGCTGTGTTAAGTTGGGGTGAAATCGGGGTTGGAATCTGGTGTTGCAAAGGGCTGGTCAGGCCACGGGCTGGTCAGACCAAGGGCTGGTCAGGCCACGGGCTGGTCAGGCCACGGGCTGGTCAGTCCAAGGGCTGGTCAGGCCACGGGCTGGTCAGACCAAGGGCTGGTCAGGCCACGGGCTGGTCAGTCCAAGGGCTGGTCAGGCCACGGGCTGGTCAGACCACGGGCTGGTCAGTCCAATGGCTGGTCAGGCCACGGGCTGGTCAGGCCACGGGCTGGTCAGGCCACGGGCTGGTCAGGCCACGGGCTGGTCAGACCACGGGCTGGTCAGACCACGGGCTGGTCAGGCCACGGGCTAGTCAGACCACGGGCTGGTCAGACCACGGGCTGGTCAGCCCCACACAACACTAACGATAGGTCGTGTTGTGATGTAGGAGGAAGCAATACAGGAGTGTTGTTGCTGTGTTGCAGAGATCAGTTACCGGCTGCAGACGGCGCGGTGCTCGGTGCGGCAGCTGCTGCTCCACTACCTGCTTCCCTGGCTCTACAACATGGAGCTGGTCGACCCCAGCACGCCGTCTGCCCCGCCCTCCACCTCCTACTGCCAGGTATGTCACCCTCCCACTGGAAACAACATGTAATTGTTTGGGAGAACGAACCACTAACAGGAATAGTGTTGCTGGTTTCCACAGGATGGGAACGCGTTTCATCCCGCACTAAAACACTCCGAGTCACCAGGTAAACAATGCAAGGGCAACAACAGGTTGATATTAGTGATAGTTACTCTCAGCATCATATTTACGGAGCAGAACCCGGCCTGCGGCTCACACAGACCCCCAGGGTAAGGCTGAGGAAGTAATTCACAAGTGGAGTGATGCAGCATCCTCCTCCTCCCTCCCTGCAGAAGTAAGCAGGGAACAGCTCCTGCGATATAATGACAGAAGAATTAGGATAACAAGAGCACTGTCTAGTGATGACGAGTATGGGGAACCAATCACAGCCCAAGTAAGGGGGGATATGAAAAAGGGTAAAAGTACAGCACCTGGTGAAGATGGCGTCACCTGCGACATACTCAATGCACTGTGTGAAGTGTCTGGGAATCCACTACTCCACTTGTTTAACAAGTCATTCCTAAGTGGAGTGTTGCCCACACAATGGAAACACACAATAATTGTTCCCATACCGAAGCCCAATGACCCTGCAACCCGTTCTCGCAAATTCGTAAAGTCAATATTGACTTATTAAATAAGTGCATAGGTGACATACTAAACATAATAGATACCCTTAAAAAGCTTCATAGAAAACACCGACCTTACCTAACCTTGTTAGTATCTTAAGATAAGCATCTTATAGCTTCGTAATTACAATTGTTACTTAACCTATTATAGGTATAGGTTAAGTAATAATTGTAATTACGAAGCAATAAGATGCCTATCTTAAGATACTAACAAGGTTAGGTAAGGTCGGTGTTTTCTATGAAGCTTTTTAAGGGTATCTATTAGGTTTAGTATATCACCTATGCACGTAGTTAATAAGTCAATATTGACTATACGAATTTGCGAGAACGGGTTGGACCCTGACAATTACAGACCTATCAATCTCATGTCATGCACTTGCAAAATGCTTGAAAGGATTATTATAAACCGACTATTGCACAAAATAGGCAGGCTAGGGGAGGGGGGTCAATGGATTTGTTAAAGGACGGAGCACAACAAATTGTATAGTTAATTACCTGGCTAATGACACAGCTAAGGACTCTGTATTTGTTGACATCAAAGGAGCCTTCGACAAAGCACAGGGGATTGCGATCCTGGACGAGCTTGCATGCATGGGTGTCAAGTGGAGACTCATAAAATGGGTTGAAGACTACCTCACAGGAAGGAAAGCCAAGGTTTGCTTCAATGGAGCAGTCTCCAGAACAATGAATATGGAACTCGGGACCCCCAAGGCGGAGTCTTAAGCCCTACACTATTCAATGTACTTATGAACGCCATTGCAAATATTGATTTTCCGGAAGGAACACAACAAGTGGGATATGCAGATGATGTCCTAATACAAGCTCCCACCTTGGGAAAAATTAAACAGTCCATTGAACTCCTTGGAAGGAAATGTATTGAGCTCGGTTTCACTCTCTCCGCAAACAAGACAAAAACATACTCCCATCACAAGCGGGGAGAAAATGAAGAACTACAAATTAATGGTGTAATACTTGAATGGGTTGACCACTATCGGTACCTTGGCGTCACTGTCGGCTGTAACAAGGGAAAGAAAGAGCTCAATCAACTCATAGGAACATGCAACAGTCGACTCAGGGCACTGAAAGCCATGACATGGAATGGACATGGAGCCTCTATTGCCGTGCTTAAAATGATGTGCACAGCCTATGTGCGCTCCGTCATAGACTATGCCGCACCAGTTCTATGCACCTACTCCCAAAGCGATATGAAAAGGCTCGAAAGCATACAAAATGAAGCCATGACAATCATTCTTGGAGTTCCAAGAACTGCCAAAACGTCTAATCTACGAGAGGAGTTGTCCCTCCCCAGTGTTAAAAGCAGAATTCAGGAGCTGAATGCTAAGCTTGCAAATAGGATAGTCAGAGATCCCCATTACAATGATATTGCCCCCCCAAAAAAACTGAGTTCTGTGCTACTTTCAGGGGGAAACAGAAGTAAAAAATGACATCACAGATCAGTCTGCTACCTGGAAGAGCTTCACCTGCTTGAGCAAGCCCGTGAGCTCCTGCCTGTAGAGAAGTTACCTCCCTGGGAGGATGACTCATGCAAGATTATCATCAATGAAATGGCAACGAAAAAATCCAAACATGATACCACAAGAAATGAGGCACAAGTATCTCAAGGAAATTTATAAAGAAGCCGGAAATGAATTAGATCAAATTTACACTGACGGGTCATCTAATCCTGTCAATGGCAGGGCTGATGCAGCATACACGGTAATTAAGGATAATGCTTTCCAACGCAGAAATGAAGAAAAAGCACGTATTGAGAACTGTGCCTCTTCAACGCAAGCAGAACTAACTGCCATTGTTATGGCGTTAAGGTTTCTTGAACGGAACACTAATGGTGCAGTGATTTCCACTGATTCAAAAGCAGCACTGCAAAGCCTAAGTAAAAATCGGGCAGAAAATCTTGCAATAATCGCTGAAATTAAGAGAGCTGTGAGAGTACTTACCAATCAGGGAAGAGTCATCAAGTTTCTGTGGATCCCCTCCCATGTTGGAATATGTGGGAATGAACGAGCAGATGTGCTGGCTGCTGAAGGCGCTGAAGGAGACCGTATTGAATACTTCATACCCAAAACTCTGCTACAAATTAAGAGGTATTGTCAGGCAACATCACCGTGACAAGGTAACTGAGGAAAGGAGGATAGAAGCACAAACCAGTGAATCTATATGATACAACATGGTTGCAGCTGGCAATCCCAATCATTATGGACGAAGAGGAGGAGGATGCGGGAGAGAATCAGTAATAGCGAGAATCCGTCTTAGATACAGATATCCATGGAGATATGGAATGGAAACAACAGTTGATCAGCGAAGTTGCAGAATCTGTGGCGAGAGTGACGGACACTGCCTTGACCACTATCTACGTGAATGTAAACACCTGAGAGACATTAGAAATATGTGTAGAATAATAAACCTCACATTGTTTGAGTTAGGAAAACACTATTTGTCAAATATTGATACTGTTCTTAAAAGATTTCCCCATTTTGCACCCGCAAGATAACGTAAGCTTTTAAGGGTTGACAGATGTTAATCTCCTTGTTTGAGGAGCTGTTCACTTGAGACAGTTAAGCAAGTCCCAGCTGTGTCTGGGTACAAGTGACAGGATGAACAACCCAGCGGGTTTTCTTCCTATTGGGGAGTGTTGTACATGCTGCTATGGCGGTGTGTCCACTCACAAGATAAGTGGCGCTGCCCAATAAACTCGCCCCTCGGGTCAAAATTTAAGAAAAAATTAAAATTTAGGTTACTCCTTCTGGTAGTAGGCTGGTACAGCCTCGCCGTCTTGATGCGGTGAATCGAACCAGCGTCCCGGGTAACCCCAGACCCACGCTTTAACCCAGTGGCGGTCATCACTGGGTACAGGCGTGCGTCTGGGGTTACCCGGAACGCTGGTTCGACCCCCGTTCTGCTTCAATGATTTTCTCATAAATGTAGCGTGGCATTATGATTTCACTGTGCATTTGATACATATTTTTGCATGTCTGTGTGGTGTATGTGTGTTGTGTCATGATGTGATGGTTGTTGTGTTGCAGTATTACGGTGACAACGGTGACGGGTCGGCCGGGGTCAGGCGAGAGGGCTGGGGGTCCGCCGAGGCTACGGAGATGGTCCTCAACAACCTCTTCTACATCACCGCTAAGGTACGTCCTATCGCTGCTACCGTCCTCACTGCCTGCCTTCCTCACTGCCCTCACAGCCTACCTGTCCCACTGCTGACTGTTAGTTTACCACACGAGTCTTGAGCCGAGGGTTCCTTGTACACAATTCAGTAATCCCTGGCTTGGTTATGTGGTATTCTCCCTCCTGTCCTAACACTGTGACTAGAGACTATTGACCTCTGATGATTCAAGAATATTTTCAGTTATACAAGTATATGATATTATTAAGTTTAGAACATTTAAGAACAAGTTCTTTGTATGTAGAATAGGTGAAGAAAGAGTCTGGTGGTAGTAACTTAGAGGGATCAGCTTTGGTCTTCTTGCCTCTCTGTGCATCCCACCGCTGCCACCATTGTAACAACCCAGTAAATGGCTTCCTTGACACACTTGACACTCATTAACACCCTACCGGCATGCAGCAACACCCATGGAACACTTCACTTATTATTTACTGACATTAAAGTATCAGTAACATGCACTGGTATATTAATCTATGGCTTCAGTAAACTTTTTGTTACTCATTTCCTTTATCATGTTCAACACCGTGTAAACCCGCCTAGTTTACTACTCAAAGTTCACTACCTGGTTGATGGGGTTCTGGTAGTTCCTCTACTCCCCAAGCCCGGCCCGAGGCCAGGCTCGACTTGTGAGAGTTTGGTCCACCAGGCTGTTGCTTGCAGCGGCCCGCAGGCCCACATACCCACCACAGCCCGGCTGATCCGGAACTTCTCTTAGAAAACAGTCCGGTTTCCTCTTAAGATGTCCACGGTTGTTCCGGCAATATTTCTTATGCTCGCTGAGAGGAGGTTGAACAACCGCGGACCTCTGATGTTTATACAGTGCTCTCTGATTGTGCCTATGGCACCTCTGCTCTTCACTGGTTCTGTTCTGCATTTTCTTGGATAGGATAAATAACTAATAGGATAAATTTGAATTATATTAGGGACAGTAACAAGGGATATCATTAATTAATATAATTAGGCACACTCACTGGTGTGGCAGAGAGAATAAATTCGAATGAGAAGTAATATACATAACGAAACTTGCAAATCACAATTAAGAAACTCTTAACACAAGAGAATTATACATTGATATATCCCATTTGTTCGAATCTCTATTACTTACGATAACTTTTTTAACAGACAGCTGACAGTATGAATGGAATACTGAACTTTTATATCCAGAAGTTAGTAGTTTGACCAGTATAGACATGAGAGCAAATATCCACCCCCCCCCCCCTCGTAATTCTACATCTACACACCTACACCAACTTGTCCTCTTACAGAGTACGTCGCTTTTCACTCGTATGTGTTACCTAAGCACAACAATTGTCGTACTAGAAAATGGAAGCGGCTAGCGAAAGGGACGTACTGTCCCGTTTTCTGTTTTGGGTATTTTATTAACGTATTTTATTGTTGGATTTATTTTGATGTTTATTGTTTTATTTTATTTTATTGTTGGCAGGACCCCTCTTCCATGTCCTTTTATATGCCGCCCTGTACTGCCCGCACAGCGCCTGCGGAACGCGCTGCGCAACTGTCTTTTTTTCCCCATCAGAAATTCCTCCACTTTCCCATGTAAAGCAGTGGCTATTTCTCAGGCAGTTAGGTGTAGGTACAGTTTAACAATAAGTACTGTACTCTGTGACACACAACAAAGTACACTCTACTCTCACAAGAGCAGAACATACCTGGAACATACCTGGAGAGGGTTTCTGGAGTTGTTCTACTCCCCGAGCGCCGGCCTGAGGCCAGGCTGGGATATTTACCCGAGGCAGTAAGGTACAGACGGCAGTAGTGTGGGTCCCATGATGGTAGTCAAGACCATACAGCTTTGTCCTGGACTGGCGGTCCTGTGGGCAAGTTGCCTGTGTGTGTGTCCCTGGCTCCCTCCCTGTGTGTCCCTCCCTCCCTGTCTGTCCCTGGCTCCCTGTGTGTCCCTGGCTCCCTCCCTGTGTCCCTGGCTCCTTCCCTGTGTGTCCCTGTGTCCCTGGCTCCCTCCCTGTGTGTCCCTGGCTCCCTCCCCGTGAGTTCCTGGCTCCCTCCCTGTGTGTCCCTGGCTCCCTCCCCGTGTGTCCCTGGCTCCCTCCCTGTGTGTCCCTCCCTGTCTGTCCCTGGCTCCCTCCCTGTGTGTCCCTGTGTGTCTGTCCCTGGCTCCCTCCCTGTGTGTCCTTCCCTGTCTGTCCCTGGCTCCCTCCCTGTGTGTCCCTGTCTGTCCCTGGCTCCCTGTCTGTCCCTGGCTCCCTCCCTGTGTGTCCCTCCCTGTCTGTCCCTGGCTCCCTCCCTGTGTGTCCCTGTCTGTCTGTCCCTGGCTCCCTCCCTGTGTCCCTGGCTCCCTCCCTGTGTGTCCCTGGCTCCCTCCCTGTGTGTCCCTCCCTCCCTGTCTGTCCCTGGCTCCCTGTGTGTCCCTGGCTCCCTCCCTGTGTGTCCCTGTGTCCCTGGCTCCCTCCCTGTGTGTCCCTGTGTCCCTGGCTCCCTCCCTGTGTCCCTGGCTCCCTCCCTGTGTGTCCCTGGCTCCCTCCCTGTGTGTCTCTGGCTCCCTCCCTGTGTGTCCCTGTGTCCCTCGCTCCCTCCCTGTGTGTCCCTGGCTCCCTCCCTGTGTGTCCCTGTGTCCCTCGCTCCCTCCCTGTCTGTCCCTGGCTCCCTCCCTGTGTGTCCCTGGTTCCCTCCCTGTGTGTCCCTGGCTCCCTCCCTGTGTGTCCCTCCCTCCCTGTCTGTCCCTGGCTCCCTCCCTGTCTGTCCCTGGCTCCCTCCCTGTGTGTCCCTCCCTCCCTGTCTGTCCCTGGCTCCCTGTGTGTCCCTGGCTCCCTCCCTGTGTGTCCCTGGCTCCCTCCCTGTGTCCCTGGCTCCCTCCCTGTGTGTCCCTGGCTCCCTCCCTGTGTGTCCCTGGCTCCCTCCTTGTGTGTCCCTCGCTCCCTCCCTGTGTGTCCCTCCCTGTCTGTCCCTGGCTCCCTCCCTGTGTGTCCCTGGTTCCCCGTGTGTCCCTGGCTCCCTCCCTGTGTGTCCCTGGCTCCCTCCCTGTGTGTCCCTGGTTCCCCGTGTGTCCCTGGCTCCCTCCCTGTGTGTCCCTGGCTCCCTCCCTGTGTGTCCCTGGCTCCCTCCCTGTGTGTCCCTCCCTCCCTGTCTGTCCCTGGCTCCCTCCCTGTGTGTCCCTGGCTCCCACCCTGTGTGTCCCTGGCTCCCTTCCTGTGTGTCCCTGGCTCCCTCCCTGTGTGTCCCTGGCTCCCACCCTGTGTGTCCCTGGCTCCCACCCTGTGTGTCCCTGGCTCCCACCCTGTGTGTCCCTGGCTCCCTTCCAGTGTGTCCCTGGCTCCCTCCCTGTGTCCCTGGTTCCCCGTGTGTCCCTAGCTCCCTCCCTGTGTGTCCCTGGCTCCCTCCCTGTGTGTCCCTGGCTCCCTGGCTCCCTGTGTGTCCCTGGCTCCCTCCCTGTGTGTCCCTGGCTCCCTCCCTGTGTGTCCCTGGCTCCCTCCCTGTGTGTCCCTAGCTCCCTGTGTGTCCCTGGCTCCCTCCCTGTGTGTCCCTAGCTCCCTGTGTGTCCCTGGCTCCCTCCCTGTGTGTCCCTGGCTCCGTGTGTCCCTGGCTCCCTCCCTGTGTGTCCCTGGCTCCCACCCTGTTTGTCCCTGGCTCCCTTCCAGTGTGTCCCTGGTTCCCTCCCTGTGTGTCCCTGGCTCCCAGTGTGTCCCTGGCTCCCTGTGTGTCCCTGGCTCCCCTGTGTGTCCCTGGGTCCCCTGTGTGTCCCTGGCTCCCCTGTGTGTCCCTGGCTCCCTCCCTGTGTGTCCCTGGCTCCCTGGCTCCCTGTGTGTCCCTGGCTCCCTCCCTGTGTGTCCCTGGCTCCCTCCCTGTGTGTCCCTGGCTCCCTCCCTGTGTGTCCCTGGCTCCCTCCCTGTGTGTCCCTGGCTCCGTGTGTCCCTGGCTCCCTCCCTGTGTGTCCCTGGCTCCCACCCTGTGTGTCCCTGGCTCCCTTCCTGTGTGTCCCTGGCTCCCTCCCTGTGTGTCCCTGGCTCCCACCCTGTGTGTCCCTGGCTCCCTTCCTGTGTGTCCCTGGCTCCCTCCCTGTGTGTCCCTGGCTCCCACCCTGTGTGTCCCTGGCTCCCTGTCTGTCCCTGGCTCCCTGTGTGTCCCTGGCTCCCTCCCTGTGTGTCCCTGTGTCCCTGGCTCCCTCCCTGTGTGTCCCTGTGTCCCTGGCTCCCTCCCTGTGTCCCTGGCTCCCTCCCTGTGTGTCCCTGGCTCCCTCCCTGTGTGTCTCTGGCTCCCTCCCTGTGTGTCCCTGTGTCCCTCGCTCCCTCCCTGTGTGTCCCTGGCTCCCTCCCTGTGTGTCCCTGTGTCCCTCGCTCCCTCCCTGTCTGTCCCTGGCTCCCTCCCTGTGTGTCCCTGGTTCCCTCCCTGAGTGTCCCTGGCTCCCTCCCTGTGTGTCCCTGGCTCCCTCCCTGTGTGTCCCTCCCTCCCTGTCTGTCCCTGGCTCCCTCCCTGTGTGTCCCTCCCTCCCTGTCTGTCCCTGGCTCCCTGTGTGTCCCTGGCTCCCTCCCTGTGTCCCTGGCTCCCTCCCTGTGTCCCTGGCTCCCTCCCTGTGTGTCCCTGGCTCCCTCCCTGTGTGTCCCTGGCTCCCTCCTTGTGTGTCCCTCGCTCCCTCCCTGTGTGTCCCTCCCTGTCTGTCCCTGGCTCCCTCCCTGTGTGTCCCTGGTTCCCCGTGTGTCCCTGGCTCCCTCCCTGTGTGTCCCTGGCTCCCTCCCTGTGTGTCCCTGGTTCCCCGTGTGTCCCTGGCTCCCTCCCTGTGTGTCCCTGGCTCCCTCCCTGTGTGTCCCTGGCTCCCTCCCTGTGTGTCCCTCCCTCCCTGTCTGTCCCTGGCTCCCTCCCTGTGTGTCCCTCCCTCCCTGTCTGTCCCTGGCTCCCTGTGTGTCCCTGGCTCCCTCCCTGTGTGTCCCTGGCTCCCTGTGTGTCCCTGGCTCCCTCCCTGTGTGTCCCTGGCTCCCTGGCTCCCTGTGT